GAGACGAGGAATGCGCATAGATATTAGTGGGAAAGCCAGAAGAAAAGAGACCACTGGGAAGACCAAGGCGTAGGTGGGTGGACAATGTTAAAATGGATCTTAGAGAGATAGGATAGGGTGGTATGGATTAGATTGATCTGGCTCAGGATAGGGACCAGTGCAGGGCTCTTGTGAACACGGTAATGAACCTTCAGGTTCCATAAAATGCTGGGAAATTCTTGAGTTGCTGCAGAATTGGCGTCCCCTCCAGAAGGGCTCAGCCCCAAGAGTAAGTAAGTAAGTAAGTAAGACTTGTATCTGAACGAATCAGTAACAATGAATTTATGTAACTTGTACCGAGCCCGAAGTAAGATAGTCAAGATAGTCAAGATAATTCAGGATATAACTGGGTTTGTGTGCGCTGTGCTTCGTGCAGTATTCCTAACTGGATCTCCAGTACCGATGCTTGACATTCTAATGGCTGCTCTCCTACCTTTGCACCTGATGACAGAAAATAATCCAGTTTTCGAATCGTTGTGGTATAAACGGAAAACCAGGTAATGCGTAGGCCCAGAAATCACAGTCTGCTGAAACCCCAGAAAACGACTGCACGAGCACAATTTTCCCCTTTCCCTTCATACAATGCTGTTCTCTCAGTTGTACATGTATTTCGTCATTTTAACTATGTAATTCTTCTGCAGGAATGGACACTGGCGACCGGTTCTACTGGTCTAGCTTACGCCCCTCAGGACGAGGCACTTTGATAACGTTCACCCCCAATATCTCAGTTTTTCTCAAACGACTGTCCATGGAGATATAAAAAACGGACAAGTTGCCCCACACATTACCCTTACATTTTATCCATGTACGTACTTCCAACTATATGTCGAATTACTATGAAGTTCTAAGAACCACCAAGAGATGGCGAAACAGTCTATAAAACGGTCGCATGTATAGAAGCGATAAACTGTCGGAGCCTGTCCCTTGCGGCTGCCCTTGGAACTATGTGAAATAACATGTAACGCGACCGGAATCTCACGGAAGAAAGAGGTCACCGAAACATACTAAGAGACAAAGAAAGAGAAAGAATGAAACGAAATTAAATATAAGAATACTCTACGGCATAATGCTCTACAAAAACACCTAAAAATATGTTATTAAAGAAATCATTTAAAAATGTTCCGGACATTAAAGCTATACATTAAGCCCACGTTCTTAATGCAAATTTTCAGCTCTAAAAAGTCGTATTGTCAGCGCTATAGGTAACGGTCCATATACATTTATACTCTGACTAAATCTAAACTACCGGGACTCGAACTCCGACCCCTCGGTCTTCCAGTTAGTAGCTAGTCGCTATACCGACTACAATTAGGCCGAAGATTTCATACCTACATAATCTCATGTGATTGACCTTGACTATGTAATCTTTGGATCTAAATGGACTGGTGCTTCGTTTACCGTTGCCGGTTGCAGAATGTCGAACAGCAGTGAAATCCGTTTGACCGGTATAGAGGGGGTCTTATATTCGATTGAACTTGATTACGTTACCTTGGAAAAGAGATCGATTGTTGTTCCCCAGACAATCGATGGACGCAGACTGTACATGCCAGCATATGTACGCGTGGGACCTATGGAGATACCTTCCGTGCAATTTTATTTGGGACGATGGTCTCAATAAATTCCTGGACTCAGTATTTCAGCATCCCGTTGCAATTGTTGATATTAGCGCCCGTTTCTCTATATCTGTCTAAATTTCAACACTTGTTTTACACTTCAATATATTCTTTAACACTTAACACTACATGTTTCGGCCTCAAAGGGCCATCTTCAGGTGTTTGGAACAGCGAAACAATGTAGCAGTTTTAACAAGGTCTTAATTGAATATCTGTAATAAAACACCTGGCCCCTTGAGACCGAAACATGTAGTGTTAAGTGTTAAAGAATATATTGAAGTATACTTCTTTTGGCTTATTTTGGACTTCATCCATCGTCTAGTATGTAAAAGACAAAAGACCACGACGTTTCGGAGACTGGATCTATCTCCGTCTTCAGGTGGGTAGAGAAGGATCACTCCAGTGATTGAGACTAGCTATTTCTAACGGGCCCAACTGAGTAGGTTTACTGAGCGAGATGTTTCCTCTGGAGGCAAGACAATGCGGAGGTTAATTACTCCCCCAGTCGGATCTTCGGGGGGGGGGGAGTGTTTCTAGAGGAAATGTCATGCAGGCGATACAACAAGAAAAAGAAAAAAATTCGGAGGGAGTGGGAGTTACGAAATAGGTAATTTTATTGGGGGTCGGCGGAAGGGTTGCTAATCCTACACCAACCCCTGGAGAGTGGGTAACACACCGCTGCACAGTTTAATTATTAGCCACCGATTCTTGAAGTATATAATTTACTTTCAGCCTCCTATTTTGCCTATTGGTTTGGTTCTGCTCACAGTTGAAATTTGCCTAACTGTTACCATGGAAACTGCACCCGTTACGTTTGCGAATACACTTGCCGTAGAGAGAATTTAGGGGTAATAAGTAGGGACCTCCGGACGGCTTCCATGCTTATTTAAATCAGCTTCTTCTTCCCGAGAGCCAGAACAGTTCTCTCCTACAAAACTACGAAATTGACCGCTGCTCGTAAGAGAATACCCTGCGCCAAATGACTGCCGAGGTTAACAGTCAGGCAAAGTTACGGCATTGCTTGGAATTTACAGCATTTTTGTTTCCTTGGCACTACAGCCCCAGTGGGCCTAGGCCTACCTCCATGAACTTCTCCGTTCACTTCGGTTTTTCTAGATCTTACACATTCGGTAGGACTCCTTGGGCGGGTGATCAGCTCGTCGCAAGGCCTCTGCCTGTACACAAACACAGAAAAACGCACACACACAAACTAAACATCCATGCCCTAAATGGGATTCGAACCCACGATCCCGGCTTCCGAGCGATCGAAGACAGTACATGCCTTAGACTGCGCGGCTACTGTGACCGGCAGTGTATAAGAATAATATATAAGAATTCAGTTCGTACCTGACAGGAAACAGATCCGAACCCACGATCCCGGCTTCCGAGCGAGTGAAGACAGTGCATGCCTTAGACCGCTCGGCTACCGTGACCGGCAAATACAGCATTCCATTTATCATATTTATATTATTATTACTACACGCATTATTGTTATGTTTACCCTCACGCCGCTGAGTTTCGAGCCTGCTCCTCAGTCACTCTAGAAATTACAGCCTAACGATTTCTTCGAAATATTCTGACTGCTCATTATCTTCACATTTGCGCAATTTGTGCATAGAATCTTCATGTTACAGGCGCACCTGTGCCTCTAATGTCCTCAGTTATTCTCAGGTTCAATAGAAACGAGATTAAGGCGTTATAAAATTCAGTTCCAACATTCCCCCAAATTCTTAGTTCTGACTATTTTATGTACATGCCCATTTATTAGAGCTCCTTGAGCATCCTGAAACGTGAAGTGAAGTAAAGTTATCCCTGCACCAGGCAATGAAGGCCCAAAGGGTTGCGAGACGTTGAGGCCCCCACATTATCTAGACCAGCCGTGTCAAACTTGCGGCCCCCATAGCCACACAGTGCGGCCCCTCAACTTTTAGAGCTAATTGATATTAAAATCAATATTAAAATTTTAGTAGAAAATTTTTTTGTAAAGACAATTTTCCAACAGACAAGAAGACAAGAAGACTCAAACAGACATAAATTAGCAGGCTACAGGAAATTCAATATTTTGCTATTTCTAGCATAATTTCTTGTGTAATCTCTCATTTTACATATTGATAAGCTGTTTGATACTTGTCCAAAATGACATTCTCTTGCTTTTTAAAACTGTATGATATGTGACTTTAGGTAATTATATTGAAATTATTCCTAAATAATAAATATAATTAAATTTCCTTGTATCAAAATCTAATGTATATTTCTATTTTGAAGTGCGGCCCTGGACTATTATTTGTAGGGCTGAGGTGGCCCTCTGTACAAGTTGAGTTTGACATCTAGACAATCAGCTCAAAGGTGGCGGTAAGGTTGTCAGCCATACGCGCCGGCCGCACTTTACTCCCCAGGAAGATTATTTAATTAATTCCTGGTACACATTTCTGTTAGCCGGAGAAAAGTTAATTGAAACAGAATATGCATCCGGATATTTATATTAAATTACGAGGAAGGGGTAACATACATTTCTTGTGTAAATGACGGGCTTAGATTTTAGTGATTTGCAAGGTCAATAACGGGCACCACACGGATAATAGACTAGTGTCTAGTGGGGGTGTTGGAGATTTTGGAATAGTTAGGCAACTGCGAGCTTCACAGGAATGACTTCGCTGCTTGAAGTTAACCCGCAAGGAGAAGCAGACACAGTCGGATGACCTTTTTTCTGTTGAAAGTCCTGAGATACGTCACAACGTAACTGTTCGGAAACTGAAAATTCTTCAGTAGTTACTCTGGACGAAGGCGAATATGTGTGACATAGGAATACCATTTGTAGTAGCATAAAAGGTTCCTTCCGCACAATTCCTTCTTGTAGCAGGATCACAAGTTTATGACGAAGTAGTAAGCGTACAAAACAGTGTTTGCGAATGTGATTATGTGGTCAGTCAGCGTGAACACAGTTGGATTGCAAAGCATTACAACCTAAGAATTACATTCCTCTAGAATTTATTTAATTACATTTGCATTTACAGGTCCAATGTTTCTTTATACGCTGATGCACTCAGATGTCGGTGTAAGCAACTCACTGATCATATCATGGGGAACTTATAATAAAACAAGTTACTTTGTTGAAAATACTTTTATTTAAATAAAAACATTTTATGTACTTGAAAGTTTATCATGGGGAACTTATACTAAAATAAGTTATGTTGAAAACACTTTTATTTAAATAATAATATTTTATGTACTTGAAAGTTTATCATGGGGAACTTATACTAAAATAAGTTATGTTGAAAACACTTTTATTTAAATAATAATATTTTATGTACTTGAAAGTTTATCATGGGGAACTTATACTAAAATAAGTTATGTTGAAAACACTTTTATTTAAATAATAATATTTTCTGTACATGAAAGTTTATCAAGGGGAACTTATACAAAAAATATTATTATGCTGAAAACACTTTTATTTAAATAATGACATTTTCTGTACTGAAACTTTAGACACATTATGAAGCTTTCTTCCTGTAAGTTTTCAGATAAAAATCTAAGAATAAGAAGAACATGACCCCGCACTGTATGACGTGTACCAGTGCGAAAGGCTTCGGGTATGCGCAGGTCTCCTGCGTGAAGACTAATGAGGAGTGCAGAAAAATGACCAGAAACTGGATCTGTCAATAAAAGAAAATATTTAAGCAACAGTAATTTCACAGTGATGGCTCCCAAACCTTCCATTAACTTCTCGTTATCCTTCTGCTTTCGCAAGTGTGAACTTGTTTGAATACATGAAGCAGATTACATTAAAACAAGCCTGTAGCTTGGGGCGCATGTTTCTACTCAAGTTGGGTTTTATTTCTTCGAATTCATTTGTTGATAGCGATGCTAGTTTAGTCTGGACATTACTCTGTTACTGACCCAGCTAATGGACGTACAGACTATACAAGACATACAATTATCAGTTCTGTTTTTCATCAAGCTAATTAACAATAGGCTTTTTCCCCCCTTGGCACTACAGCCCCAGTGGGCCTAGGCCTACCTCCATGAACTCCGTTCACTTCGGTTTTTCTAGATCTTACACATTCGGTAGGACTTCTTGGGCGGGTGATCAGCTCGTCGCAAGGCCTCTACCTGTACACAAACACAGAAAAACGCACACACACAAACTAAACATCCATGCCCTGAGTGGGATTCGAACCCACGATCCCGGTTTCCAAGCGAGAGAAGACAGTACATGCCTTAGATCGCTCGGCTACCGTGACCGGCAGTGTATAAGAATAATATATAAGAATTCAGTTCGTACCTCACAGGAAACAGATCCGAACCCACGATCCCGGCTTCCGAGCGAGCGAAGACAGTGCATGCCTTAGACCGCTCGGCTACCGTGACCGGCAACAATAGGCATACACTGCATAAATGACTGAATGAGTCTGAAATTTTCTATGTATGAGACCTATACAACATATCGGAATGTGTTTGGGGTTTACATGTTATATTCAGGAGAAGTGTCTTCATATAGGCACCAAGCTTTTTAAAAATACAAATATTTGATAAAGCTTGAATTAAGGTGTATTTGAACTCGAGATTAAAATGTACAATATTTATATAAATAGCCCGAGAACTTTTAGTACAGTGACCGGTTATATGAGTGTAACGTGTGGATCCAGAAGATAGACACGAACACCCTTTCGTACACGTGTTACTCAATCCGTGTTAAGAGCAAAAGTGAATGTATTGTAACGTGTCAGCTGTGTGACTCGACATGAAAGAATTGCTTGGGTCTTCGGATTTGAACGAGTTCCTGTATTGCACACACTCAAGTATAATTATCATCAAGTTCAGTGTCACAACTCTTCTTCCCGCGGCTGTCTCGCACTCACCGCGAGAACTGACTAACTACTTCGACTCTCTTCTGCCGAATACTGGTTTCAACTGACCCACTTTTTTTTTTATTCGCTTAGTGGGGTGTGGAGTCCAACTAGGTCCACTTGGCACGGCGGCCACTGATTGGCCTATTGTAGCCTGTACCGACTGATTATGATGATGGATAATTCGGTGTAGTGAAGATTGGCCGGGGAAACCGAAGTACTCGGAGAAAACCCGCCCAGCGCTACTTTATCCACAACAAATCCTACTTGACCAGACACGGGATCGAACTCAGGCCGCCGCGGTGGGAAGCAATCGACTAACTGCTTGAGCTATGGCGTGGCTTCAGTCCTCCAGTAAGTAATTACTTAAGTTGAAGGTGAATCTGTGTTGCATGGCAGTACCATTTGCATTTCGGTGAAGTGCCTCTTCCACCAGAGTTTATTTCTGAACTCAGGCCATGTGGCTGCCGTTGAGCTGTCCACGTGACAACCTCTATCCGCTAAAGTTGGTACTAACTTCGCCGACAAGCTGCGGTAGCTCGGTCCGTATGGTTCGCTTGCGGACTACAGGCTACGGAGTTTGTTTCTCTGTTTTTTATTTCTTAATAATTTTGTGCTAGTGCTGTTTCATTGTTTGAAGATCCTTAAATATCCGGAAACAAGGACGTCCAGATATACTCTAAAACGTAGTGTTCAGGGATATTTCTGTTGAAGTATGAAGTCACGCTAAACGTTTACGGCCTATCCAGTAGAAACCATTCTTACACGTATCTGCTAAGCTATGGGCCGAGGTTGAGATAAATTCCTGGCTTGTACGAGTAGATTTGATATGTGACATCAGACTGGAGAAATATAATTCACACGGAGCAATGGTGGATAATAATTAGATGGGAATTTCTAGAATAGCTGAACGATTGCTAGCTTCTCAAGAAGAACCATTTTAAAAGAAATATATATTTAATTACTTCGTTATATAGAAAGAACTGAAAGCATGGACACAAATTTTGTTCATTTTAATTTTTCCTATTCTACGTTGTGGGATAGGTCGACTTCCAACCGTTAGGAAACTGATAGTCCTCCAGTATTATATCTTTCATTGCTAGTGGGGTGGGACTAAGTCCCTTGTACTGCGGCCACTGCTGGACTATTGTACCAGCCCCAGATGATAGGTGAGGGTGATTGTGGAGCAGTTGGTGGAATGAAGATTGGCAGGGGAAACCGAAGTACTCGGAAAAAACCTGCCCCAGCGCCACTTTGTCCACCACAAATCCCACTTGACCAGACCAGGGATCGAACCCGGGACGCCGCTGTGGGAAGCCAGCGACTAACCGCTTGAGCTGTGGCGCGGCCTCAGTCCTTCAGTAAGTAATTGCTTAATGTGAAGGTGAATCTGTGTTGCATGACAGTACCATTTGCATTTCGGTGAGGTGCCTCTTCCACCAGAGTTTATTTCTGAACTCAGGCCACGTGGCTGTGATGAAGTAGTAAGTGTACATAACAATGTGTACGAAAGAGTTTACTGGGCCGAGCAGCGTCAAATGTCCACCTGCAACAAGCATGTCACATTTGTCAGATCGGAAATAAAAATTTACGACAATTGAAAGAACCAAAGATATTGCATAACAGGTGTAAAGAATGCAATGTCGTTAACTGAACTAATAAGTGAACTAAATTCATTGATGATGACTTGCTTTTGGCTTTAAGGACTCCGGGACTAAAATTATTACATCGTAGAAATTAAATTTCCGTACAATTTACTTCATTGTATTTGCATTTACAGCTGCAAATCTTTTCTTTATACGATGGACAGTCACGAAGCCGGTGAAAATGATTTCACGACCGAAGTCGAAGAATTCATACTGCACTTAAGAAGCTGTAATGAATTTATACTTGGATATTAAGAAAGTAGTAGGTAAACATATCAGATGTGTGTGAGTTATGTTGGACCGCCTCTGTGGTCTAGTGGTCAGAGTTCCTGGCTACCGACTCAGAGGTTCGGAGTCTATTCCCGGCGCTACCAGATTTTCTGAGACGTTGTGGGTCTGAAACGGGGTCCTCTCAGCCTCGTGAGGACAACTGAGGAGCCTTTTCAATGAAATAGCGTCTCCGGTCTAGAAAACCGAAATTAACGGCCGTGGGGATCCGTTGCGCTGATCATGCGGCATCCTCTATCCGCTAAAGTTGGCACCAAATTCACCGACAACACAGATACCATAAAGAAAAACAGAAATTAACTGAAGCAAGTAGAGAGGTTGGTCTAGAAGTAAACACAGAGAGAACTATGTATATGTTGCTGTCTCGTCACCACAATGCTGGGAAAAATCATGAAATATTGACAGGAAACAGATGTTTTGAAAATGTTGCATAGTTTACATATTTAGGAACGACTATAACAAATCAAAACCTGATTCAGAATGAAGTTAAGAGGAAAATATTTGGACCGAAAAGAGGTGAAGTCACAGGAGGTTAAAGAAAACTGCATAATGAGGAGCTTCGTAACTTGTACTCTTCACCAAGTATAATCAGAATAATCAAATCAAGAAGGATGAGCTGAGTAGGGCATGTAGCACGAATGGAGAGAAGATGAATGCATATAGGATAGTGGTCGGAAAGCCAAAATGAAAGAGACCACTAGGAACACAATGATGTAGATGAGCGGACAATGTTAAAGTGTTCTCTGTTACTGCATCCATTGTTGCGTTCGCAGCTATCGGCGTGGATCCCGTAGAAAATACCACTCCTCTGTTGTTGTTTAAGGACCGTTACCTAGTAACAGCCGTTGTTTAATTGTTCGATTCGCGGTCGTTGCCTAGCAACGGGTCTACATACCATGTATAACAAATATATTTCATTTCTTGCTAATTCGTTGCATTCCGTTTCCTTTCTGACGTTTTGCAGTTCAACTAATGTAACTTATTCTGCTCGAATCCCTTGCGGCTTTTTCTTTTTCAGTGAACCTGGTCTATAAGGACTCCTGACCTCTCAATATTCAGATGCCATTTTTATTTGCTGTTCCTTACGCTTGCCTGAAGATTGTGTCGTCCGAGCAAGATTCCTATATGTCATCGTAAAAACACAATTTTGCAACAAGCTCCGAATTAAAAGTTCAAATTGCAAGACATTTCCTTGGATGTGTGCGACTCCTTATTCCATATTGGCACGTGTCATTGATTATACATGGGGTTGGGAATGGTAGTCGAATTTATTGCACAGTTACACTTCAGAAGCACAAGTAATTACCATTGGTTAACAAATCACTTCGGCACGCACAGAGTTTTCTTAGTCTTCTTTGTCTTCACAATTTGTCGCCTAGCAGTGGATCCCAACTTCACAGATCTCTCAGATACCGTGTTCCACAGCTGGTCCTCCTTGGCTCCCTTCTGTAACGCAAGGGCTATTCCTCACGCCTTTACGGCTGAAGGACTGCATTCGGCAACCGCCGTCTCAAGACGTTTCCAAGAGGTTTCCTGCCGCTAGCAACCTAGCCAGGCGCCAGGATCTCCTACATCAGACTGCTACCACCGACTACTTGAAAGCCGAAAGCTGACCAGTTCATTTGCTGTTGGCCTTCGCCAACAAAGTCATTCCTGGTTTCAGTCTCCTCGAGACTCGTGACCAAGATTTTTATTCCCTCCTAGACATATACCTGTTTCGAAATGGGGTCTCTCCTATGACGAAGGAGGAGTCGATGTTTCTGCGGAAATTCTAAGTTTGTTGCACCGTAGTTTCAACACTGGCACATGTGCTCTCTCGCGACATTCAGGTCCTTTGTCACTGCACTATACCAAGTAACATTTATATAAGGTATACAGAGGTTTCCTGTCAATGCAGGCGTGTACGGCAGGTCCTGCTTAACTTGTGTAACTATTCTAAAATTACAGTTAGTCAGCTGAACTGTCGTAGGTCTGACCACCGCCAATTTTAAGCCTCTTATACGTCCTTCTGATAAATTAATAAAGCTAAATAATGAACTTTAACTCTTATACTTCCTTTGCGTGACTTCTTCTTGTCAAATATCAGATATATTTGAATTCAAAGAATTCAGAATTACTTCCGACTGTGTCCTGCGTAACTTAGTTATGTAGTCATACACATAAGAAATTTTGAAAGTCTCTTGTAATTCAAGGGTAATGCTTGTTACCATTCAGTCCAGAACCTTTTGTCTTCTCCTCTGTTGTATAAAAACATAAAAATTAAAATATGAAAAACTATGATTTTGCCTGTGGTTCCGTATGGGTGTGAAACTTGGTTCCTGACATTAAGGGAGGAACATAGACTGAGGGTATTTTTGAGAACAGGGTGCTGAGGAGAATATTTGAACCGAAGAAGGATGAAGTGACAGGAGGTTGGTGAAAACTGCATAATGAAGAACTTCATAACTTGTACCCTTCTCAAATTATAATTAGAATGACCAATCCAAGAGGATTAGGTGGACAGGGCATGTAGTACGAATGGGAGAGAAGACAAATGCATATATAATATTAGTGGCAAAGACAGAAGGAAAGAACAACTGGGAAGACAAAGGCGTAGATGGGTGAACAATATTAAAATGGATCTTAGAGAGAGAGGATAGGATGGTGTGGATTGAATTGATCTGGTTCAAGATAGGGACCATTGGAAGGCTCTTGTGAACAGGGTAATAAACCTTCGGGTTCCATAAAATGCCGGGAAATTTTTGAGTAGCTGCAGAATTGTCGGCTTCTCAAGAAGGGTTTAGCTCCATGAGTTAGTAAGTAAGTACGTGTAATTTGAGGATATGCCATAATACTAATATATTCGCAGTTATCCTCCTTGTGCTTCGGTTTGGATGTCCTCTAATGGAAAATTGATGAAATTGACCGAAAGTTGAATTATCGGTTCACACACAATATGGGTTCTCATAGCGACAAAGAGAACAGTGGGTGGGCTAGAATAAATGGGCGACTCAGTCTGCAATTGCAGAATGCATCATATTTATGTTGAAAATATTTGTCGACAGAGGAAATGGAGAGCGGCTAGTCACCTGGGAGGTATTTTGTAGCCGCCCACGCTAAGACGAACATCCCTCCGTGGTGATACACATGCAGAAAGGACGCTTGAGAATCCTTCTTCCGCAATACGATGAAGACCTGTAAGTCAGGATATTTATGAGCACAAAAATGCATATATATTGTAAGATAGTAATAATGATAGCAGCATACAATATAAGTGATACTTCAGTAGAAGAAGAGCACTACTGAAATTTTAGGACCAACACTTTTATAATGGAAGAATACGATAAAGAATTCCGGTGTAACTTTACTATTATTAATCTTATTATTATTAGGAAATTTATCAGCATACTCGTAAATCCCCAATTTTAAATGTTGTCATTTGCATTAACGACTATAGACGGAATTCGGAATGGTGAATAAATTTATTGATCATTTATATTGCTGCTTAGCGTCACCTCACCCGAGTATGGTACGGGCGCTCCATAGCAACGGCGTATTCTACGGGGACCTCTCGTCGTTCTGCCGCCTCAGGTTTCATGTCCACTAAGGTCGGCTCTTCTTCTTCTTCTGGACGTGCCTTTTGGCAGGCCACTGTCCCTTCTTCTAGATGCGCCTCCGTCGTTTCTCGGTAGGTCATCGTCTCCATGTCTCTTTCTGGTTTCGTTTCGGCAATGATCTCCCTGTGACTGGTGTCCATATTTTCTCGCATGGCTTTCGTCCTTGCTTTGATAGCTTCCGTTTCCGCGGCAATCTCTTCTCGCCAGGCTTTTCTATCGGCGTCTGCCTTTTCTCGTTTGGCGTCTAATTTTGCCATGAAATCTTCTTTGTCTGCCTTCCCATCTCCGTCCATTTTTGCCAGGAATTTTCTTGGGCGTCCAGCAGGCATTCCATTTTCTCCACTAGGCGTTCGAACAATTTTTCCATCTCCATCGTGTGGCGTGTTTAAGTTCGTAAACCACTTCTCACACCAAATTTTCACGTGTTGGGTGTATGTCACGCGACAAATAACTACACGCTATCCTGGATCTAGCGAAATTATTGCACATTCGCTCTTACATTTACACAACTACTGCCATCTGCAGTATTACGCTTACTTCTCCTGGAGTCACTCCGCCGAATGCTAGACTGCAACTTACTCGGCGACGTCACGTTCCACACTGTCACTCGTGATCACACACTCTTCTCACATACTGCTCAGCCGGCTTTTTATACAGTTCCCTGTTGCCCCGTGTTAACAGTGGTGTCCCCTGTTACGTCACTGTGTGAAGTGCTGTTACGTCACCGCGGCGGAAGGGGGGCGGAGTGTTGACTGGCCTGTTACCGTAGCAGAGGCAGTTGCTCCGATGTTGTTACGTCACCGCTGGAGGGGAGGGGGGTGTTTACCGAGCGTTGCACCGTCCACGTCACAATATTATGGGTCATGGAACTAGTCAGTCAGTTCCATCTAGTGCCGTTGCCGAGAGTGGTGGAGCAATACGTCCATTTCCCATACGTCTTCATACATTGGTGCTCACATTCTTAAGCCCAGGGACAACAATATTAATGCTTTAGATAATTGTGTTTTAATTTAAACGAATTATTTGTCTATGTGTATGAATATTTAATTCGATAATATTCGGTATTCATTCCTTGATTTAGAGCGCCAGTAATTAATAAATAATTATGTAATTTTCCTCTACTATTTCTCCTCATAAACTTTATTGGCATTTAGTCGTTGAACGAGAACATTAATAAATAATTGAATTATTATTATTATTATTTTCATTTATTTGTTTGTTTACTTGTCTGCATTATTGATTTATGTTAATGAAATTATTATTATTATTATTATTATTATTATTATTATTATTATATTTTGTTTGTTTACTTGTCTTCATATTTTGTTTTCCTCCAGTGATTGCCTGTAATTTGTCTTTGACTTTATGTAGTGTTTGTCCATAATGTAATTACGTGCATCTATCCCTGTGATCTGTCTGTAATTGTCTTGAAAATTTTCAGTCTCACCACTAAATTATTCGTTACGGGACATAGTAATTCCGGAAGCCAGTAGTTGTAAATACTTGGGAATAATTTTAAGCAGCGATTTAAGTTGGGCTGATCAAGTTAATTGCACGGCGCAAAAAGCTTGTAAGGCACTTCATTTTACAATGTGTATTCTTACGAGTAGAAAGGGAAATATATGCCCGCCCCTTTCTTACTTCACAGGTTTCCGTCTAGAGCTTCTCGAGACTCACTGTTAGGTGCCCTGTCTTCTCTCACCGTTCCTCTTGT